GTTCGGGAGGGCAAATGACCGACATGCTCGATAGGCAGCGAGAAATTTGGGTCACGGTCGTGCGGGCCGCACCAAAGGAAATGTCTTGGACTGGGCCTAATCAAACTGTCGGGCCAGTCCAAAACATAAATGGAGACAACGGATCGTCTTTCCTAAGCCCCATCTCCACCTTAAAATCTTTGGTGAGACTACCATTCACCAACACCGACATCCAGCTCGAAAAAACCATGGTTTCCATCCACTTCATCCAAACCTCCCCAAAACCCATTTGTCTCATCACGTATCTCAGACAATCCCAATTCACCTTATCGTACACCTTTTCAAAATGAACCTTGAAAAGTAAGCACCCCTTCTTTGACTTTGTCCCGTAAACGACCACCTCATTAGCAACCACCACCCCATCCAACAAAAATCTGCCAGAGAGAAAAGCACTTTGACATTTAGAAATCAGAGACCCTGACACCCTCTTAATTCTAGATGCCAGAAGCTTAGCCACAGATTTATACAGACAACCCATCAAACATATCGGTATGTAATCATCCAAACTACAAGGACTAGACTTCTTAGGGATTAACATAATGAAAGAAGAGGAAATCACCTTCGAGAGAGAACCACACCCGTGAAAATCATTGAAGAAACGAATAAAGTCCAACTTGATGAAATCCCAACACTTTCTTATGAAGAAAATATTAAAATCGTCCAGACCTTGACTCTTAGACCCCTCGCAGATTCAAACCTCCTCTTTAATCTCTAATTCATAGAACCGAACCTCAAGAGACTCTCGCTTCGCTTCAGAAAGAATATTAAAATTAACCCCTTCGAAAATAGGACTATTCCAGTCTGGTTCAACAAACTTTTATGAAAAATGTCTCCTTACCTCCTCCTTAACTTCCCGAACCGACTCCACCATTCCATCTGCTGTATTAATAAATCCAATGAAATTACTCATGCGTCTACCTTTCAAAACACAGTGAAAATATTTATTATTCGAGTCCCCATATGTATCCCATCTTAATTTGGACTTTTGAAGTAACATGTTTTTCTTTATATTCATTTGCATGACATACGACTTGTGGCCTCACTCCTAATAGCCACCAAATTATCGACTTGATCGTTCTGATAAGTAGTTAACAACGCATCAGCCTTGTTCAAGTTCTTCTTCTCTTCCTCTATCTCCATATCTATTCTACCGAACACTTTAACATTCCACTTCCGAAGACTCAATTTGAGCAACTTGGATTTCTCCTTTAAGACGGAGTCTCCTCTACCTTCAACGTTAAGATTCTTCCAAACATGCTCCACAAAAGGAAGAAAATACTTATTCTTGAACCAACTGTTATTCACCATAAACGATTTTGACCCCCAATCCTCCTTATTAATAACCAACCAAATTAGACAATGATCTGACACATCCCTAGCCCCAATCATCTGACCAGAGATGCCCCACTTGTCAATTATCGAATCCTCCACCAAAACTCTATCTATTCTACTCATGGAATTTCCGTCACCACTATACCAACTGAAACAATTACCTTTAGAGGGTAAATCAATCAAATTATTGTTAGCTATAAAACTCGAAAAATAATTCATCTCTGACTGTCTAACATCGCCTCTCCCAGTCCTCTCCCTAACATTCTTAGTCGCATTGAAGTCACCTCTTATTATCCATTCACCATCCGTCAATTTAGATTTTGAACACAATAATTCCCTCTATAACTTACATTTAAGCTGTAAAGAACAAGAAGAGTAAACGTTAACTATGTATATAACCTCCCCTTCCAGTTAACCTTTATACCTAAGAAGTCTTCCCCCATGAAACTACAAACCACGTCTGTTTTATCCTCCTGCCACAAAGTAATAATCTCGCCCGAAAAACCTTCAGCCTTAGAGAAAGACCAACCCACCCTACCATTCCTCCAGAAACTCCCAGCTAACGCAGCACCTACCACACCCAATTTGGATTCTTGAATGAAAAAAATATCGGCTTTTCATTTAGAAATAATAGAACTAACATTTTTCTTCTTCAAAGAACTACCTCCTCCTCTTATGTTAAGAGAGCCTATAATTCACATTTATTTTTGCCAACAATTTCTGCCTCTTCTCTCTATCCCTGTTTTCCAACTCCTCAATCTTGCCTTTGTAATCCCTTTCAGAACCATAGGACACCACTCCATAGTTATTAATAGTCGCTCAAAGTTTTGCACCAACGTTTGATTCAATCTGATCTAATCTGAAATTATTTTGGATAATGTTTGAGTCAGATACGTTCATCCTACACAAATGACAATTGTTAACATCCTTACAAGAACTATTCATAGTGTCCTCCTCTGAAATGCTAGCCACAGGCCAAATGATGAGATTGGGTCCGAACATTCTTTAAGAGTTCTCTTTTTACATCTTTTGTTTTTCACTGATCTTGGCCCACTGATCTCGTAAATACTCCTCACGTTTATGGGCCTTTTAGAAACAAACGGCCTTTTTGAATAAAAAAAATTTGGTTTAAAAAAAGTATCAACAGATACACTATCCTCCTTTAATAAAACTTCCAGAAATAAAATGTTACTTAAAGAGCTCACGCCTGCAAACATGCCTTCTAAACCCGCCTCTCTAACGACCGCTAAGGCTTCATCAAAATAATAAATTTCCTTCAACTTTTCCTGTTCTCGAGAATTGGCAGAGATCCCACCTCCAACTGTATCTTTACGTTGTCTTAGTTATTATCCTTCGGATTAAGCTGTTCTATTCTCTTCGAACCGTGTAAAGAAATGTCACCCAAAGCAGAGTTAGCTGAAGCCGAATCAGACGAATTTCCTTCTTCCTCTATGTCTTCCGTGTTGAACCTTTCAAACTCAAAATCAGACGACGATGAATCTTCAGACCCCACCTTTCCCGCATTTTGATTCAACACAATCCTCAATGGCCCATGAGAATCCTCAGACACTTTGATTCTAAAAATCGATCCATCGATATTAACACTAAATATTTCGTTCAACGCCATACAACAAGATATCCTAACTAAAATTCTAGCTATGTCCATATTGATAGAATTCAGAGTATTTTCATCACTACATACATACCTTCCCACTGTATTTACAATCAGCTCGAGGAAAGAAAAATTCCATACATAACACGGAATATCGTAGACTCTCATAAAATATATTTTTTTTATTTCATACTTAATAAATACACATTCATAAATTCTACTAGAGAGTTTAACTTTTTAAAGATTTGATATCCAAACAAATTCTAGATAACTCTAAGTTTGAAATTAAAACAATTTATATTATCTTTTCTTCAAAATTTCATACGAAAAAAATTTGTTCTTGGACTAGAGAACTCATATTATCACATATCTTACCGTCAATAAAATTTCCCCAATCCAATGAGATGCATCAACAGAATTAAGCATTATAGCAATGACTAATTCAGTTAAGTTTGGATTCTCTTTTGTCAACTTTTGGTTCATTTCAAAAAAAAAAAAGGTATACTGGATTCATGAATGGTTCCACAATTTTTATATAAATTATTAAATGAGTGCAAACCATTTTTTGTGCCTCTATCACTATGAAATCTATCAATATTCTTATTAAATTGTTTTTTTTAATTTATGTTAGAAACATCTTAAAGATCTCCAGAATATCACTTTGATTTTCTCATAAGATAGACAAAACTATAGCAAAAATAATTATCAATAAAAGTGATGAAATATCATTTTTCATTTCTAGTCAAGCTAATATCAAGTTTTCATATATCATAATATATTAAAATATCATTTTTTCATTTCTAGTCAAGCTAATATCAAGTTTTCATATATCATAATATAAAATTTGAAGGTTCACAATTTCTTATTACGAATTTATGTTAATATTTGATTATTTTATCTTGACTATATAAATAAATTTTTTTAAAATCATTTAAAGATAACTTTAGAATCAAATATATTTTACTCAAATTTTAAATAGTAGGCTTGTTTACACGGCAAAATCAAGAATTCGAACATTAAAATCACACAAGTAAATTAAAGAAGATATTGTATTCATTTCAAATTTTAATTTAAACCTTCTATTAGTGGTGTAACATTTCCAAGCAAAAACAACATTTTAACAATGACGTACAAAGATGCCCTGAGTGAAGTCATTCTTATTTAGGAGAAATCCCAAAACTTGATTATTTATTACCTCTAAAACATGCAACACGTCCATGAGAATCAATTTACTTTTGGAAGTGAACTATGGATCCTCTCTGGTGCTAGGGTACGTTAGTGGTGTGAGAATCTCTTATCACCACTTTATTATCTTCATCAACTTTGTGTATTTTTAACGTAACAAAATCATAGCATACACAAAGTTAATACTAGTAATCATAACAATAAATTGTTTTTCAATCACAATAGCTTGTGAAGTAAATATCGGTTTGTGAAGTAAATATCTAAGTGTCATATGATCCGATTTTCTACAATTATAACAAATGAAATGTAAATCAGTGTCCCTTCTTGATGGTTGTTGTTGATTCACATTTTGGCCCTTGGTTTGGGTGTACCCTTTCTTGTTGCAATTGTAGTTCTTAATCATAATGAAATTCTATTTTAAAGAGGTTTTTCACTTGGGTTTAGAGCAACATTATACGAATTTATTTTTATAGTGTTATGGTTCGAAATAACTAACAGTTCATCTCTTTAATCTTTCTTGTGACCTTATTCATCAATGCGTAGGTGGGTTATCATTCTTTCTAGTTAGAATTCGTCAGTTGAAAGCACTCCAACTCCTCTAGAAATGACAGCCAACTCCTCAAAAGCTCTTCAAAATCAATCAAATAAATAAATGGGGCATACTCAACTCATCACCTTATTCCTCTCAATTCTAAATTCACCCCTTTATGATCCAAATTTAAAAGCTCTTAATTCAAACATTCATAAATCTCACCCGAAAAGAAAAAACTCACATATAGCTAGAAAAAAAGTAAAACAACAACATTATGAGCTAGTGAAGCGCAAAATCCAACTATTGAGTCACACGGTACCTATCCAATGGATCCTTGAATAAGAGATTTTCATGATAAACTCTCCAAGCATAGTCCTCAAAATCAATGGAGTTGAATACCCTCTTTTGGACTTCACCAACAATGTTGCTCTCTTCTTCTTCTTCATCATCTTCAACTTTGTCTTTGAAGCCAATGGGAAGAAGTGGAGCTACATTGCTCTCTGTAGGAAGAGTTATCAACAATGACATTGTTATGCAACGTGAATCATTTTCATCTCCCAATGTTGCCACTGGTCTGCCTCTCACTTTCTTTAGCTTTCCATTGCTCCAAACCTACACATTCTTATATTGTGGTAAGCAAACATATCAATATGCATCAGTCTTTGGATTAATTTGGTGGCATGATCATTTTATTCCTTGCAACTCAATTTTCACATAAAACTAAGACTTGTAATATGTGTGAATATGGATATAGTTGCTTATAAATAATGAGTCCTACAAGAACACTTAAACCACCTCATGTATCATGTGACTCAACAACTATAATGAATTTAAAATCAATTAATCTCATAAATAATATTCCTATTAACCTTAGTTTTAAAGCTTAATTTGTTCAAACAACATATGGCGTATCAAAATTGAATTGAATTATTTCTTGTTATCATTTCAAAATTGAATTTTTCTTCAGCTGATCATTTCAAATTTGAACTATACATGTACCTAGGTGGCAAAATGGTAATGGTACTGGTACTTGCAAATCATAAATAAATAATTCAAAGCTGACAAACTAATGTGACACTATCCATAAGCTTTTCCCCACAAATCAAGCCACTAACTAAAAGAATTAATTTCTAATTAGAAAAGCAGACCGTACACCAAAAATTGAAAAGGTATATTCTTACATCACAAATTATATATTATTATAACAAAAATAAAAATACACTATTCATTATTAATAAAATATTAATTTTTTAATCTTTTAAAGTTGATAGTTATTAAAACAGAAACTAAATATATTAATCTTCTAACCTGGGCAATATCACCAACAGTAACTAAGATGGAGTCCACGTGTGGCAAAACAGAAACCCATCCACTTGAATCAGACAACAAAGAGTGCTTCTGGCACCTTATCTGATACTGCAACCCAATGATAAACGGGTAAAACCCACTCGTTGAACCGGGTTTATTTCCCTCCGAAATCCACATAATCGAACTGAACCGGGTTCGGTCCTCTTCAGCCGGATTCACAACTCCTAAACCCTTCGTTAACACATCAATGATATTCAAACCCACCTTCTCAAGCGCGCGTGCGAACTCGTTCACTGAATCTAGTTTTAAGTCGTTTGACTCGGTTGAACACGGTAAGTCTAACCGGAACGACTCAGAGATTCCGTCACCGTCGTCATTGGCGCCGCCTTCGTAACCTAACGGCCAGTTTTGAGGGAAGAAAATTTCCTTCTGGTCACGAGAAAGGTCGAATAGTTTAAGCGATTCCGACTCGGCCGATTTGGCGAGTTCAGATGAAACTGAGTGATCATTGAGTTGGATAAAACCGAGTTTGGAAACAGAAGAGAGAAGTTCGTTTGGAGTTAATGAAGAAAAGGAGAGAGACGGAGGAGACGTGGCGGATGAAGAGGAGCGGCGGTTTGGGAGAGAGAGATTAGGCGGGAGACGGTGGAGAAGGCGGGAGAGTGCGTCGGCGGCGTCGGGAGATGAGAGGAGGTTGTTGGTGTTATTTGACGGAGTTGGTGGCGGTGCTGACGTGGCACCTCCGTGAAGGTTTGATAATAGTTGATGCTGTTGCTCATGTGTTGAAAATGCCATAACTTGATAATAACTGAAAACGATGGCTGAAGTTTTGGGTGTATGTGTTAGGCTCTTTTTGATGAATGCGAGCGTGGGAATATAATAGGACACATGTGTGTGATGGGTTCTGAATTTTCTCTTTCTTTCTTTTTTTTTTAAATAATTTTTTGTCTAAATTAGTTGATTTGCTTGATTAGATAATATTGTTAGTCTAAGGTCTAAACTGGCCGACAATCAAACCAGATTAGGATATTTTGTATAAGGAATGAATAGGCAAACTAGATGAAATTAAGCATTTTTAAAATACTTTTTTTTTTCAAATTAATAAATATATTTTTGAAATTATAAGAATCACTTAAAATGCTGTATCCCGTAAATTGTTATTAAAATATTTAGGCATTGAATGAATGAATGAAATCTAATGAAGTGGAATAGAATTCGATAGAATAAAATGATATTTTATTGTTTGATAATTTAAAAATGATGGAGTAAAGTGTAATGAAGTCTTATAGATTTCATTTCATTTCATCACTTACTACTATACTTTTAGGGATGGTAAAATCAGTTTGTCTCGTTGGGCATGTTCATTTATGACTGTACGATGATCTGCGTCTGTCTATTCACATCTAACGATAAGACTTTTTACTGATTAATGGTAGGATAAAACTATCTAAGGAGGAGGAAAATAACACAAAAGATTTTTGAGTATGTAGATAGCTCGTAATAGCTTGCTCACTAAAACAAAACATTTTCACAAACACTTTTCTCTGAAGTATTTTCAAAACAAACCCTTTGTATGCATTCTTAACGATACGAGAATCATTACAAAGTTGCCGCACTTAGGCATTTTCAAAATATTTTCAAACATACACAACACAAAGTATTTTCAAGCAAAGTGGGCTAAGTGATTAAGAGCTCGTAGATAACTACGGATGAAAAGGATGCTAACACCTTCCCTTTTCATAACCTACCCCCCGAACTCAGAAAATTCTTGAAGGTCTTTCCTGTTCTTTTCACCCTTTCCTTATTGGATAAAGGAAAAGTTGGTGGCGGCTCTTGTTATCCACAACATTTGTGATAAAACGCAAAAACCAAGTCAGTTCTCCCACCGTATTACAGGAGTGTACCTGCAAGGTACTCCGATGCCAAAGTAAGAATAGAGAAAATCAGAGTGCAAGTATTAGAAGTCAGAGTGAATCAATGAATACATGACCCTCTCATGTGCCAAGATCCATGCATTAGGCCAAGCAATTAGGCTTAATAACGAAGACTATCAGGGTTACCTGAGTAGTGGAGTTCAGTATGTGGCCTCCTTCATGGTCAACTGTCCCGAGATAATAGGGAAGTTGGACCTGTTATTCTCGATGGGCAGGATGTTGGTTTAGGATAGTTGTTGGCCATGTTTCGCTTGTGGGCATGTGGGATCATATCCAACGGTTAGTGACTTGGTCTGGATGCTATTGGGTCGTAGCAGAGGTGTTGGGTTGGGTCTACCCCACAGAGGCCCAAGTGTCAGCCCAGTCCATAACAAATAGTATTAATTTTAAGCCTAAATCGTCCGAGTTTACAATTTATCACTTAATCCCTACCTAGTGCAACTTCTATCTAGGAACCTCCTAGATATGAGAAATAGTCATCTCACTTCCAATCACCATAGTGATATCTACAGCCACAATCCTAGTGACTAGAAACTACAACCACAATCCCAGTGACTAGAAACTACAACTGAAGATCACACTTCAATTAGAAAATCTCAAACTCTCTTGCTTACAAGCTTTAAGAGTGAGACAATAACTTGATAAACTTCCAAGTAATAATCACTCAACTCAAATGCATCGAAAGATACACGAGGACATAGAAAGAAAATAGAAACTCCCTTGAAGAACCCTCAAAACCTAAGACTAAGAAAAATAGGCTTCCCTTATTTTTTATAAAGTTCTTAATGAATTTAGGTCTAGGTAATTTCTTTAAATACTCCTAGGTAATCCATGGGTCTTGAATCTTTGCTCAAATATTCCTTGTTGCACACGCTGAGGGCTGCACCAATTTGTGCATAAAGATCTTCTTAAATTTTAGAACAAAACACAAGGTTTCCTAAATTGTCTCAAAGCCCAATTTTGGCAACCTGTATACAGCTGGAGATAAATCAAATGTTCTAGATTGAATATTCTTTCCCTGCAAAAAACCAGTGTGATAAAACCAAAAGGAATCTCACAAAATCAATTTAAAGTTGTCAAGAAAAAATACAACTTGTACAGATGTTCTGATACAACATGTTACAACATCTGTTAGAACATCTGCCTTCAAATGAACCTGACCAGCATGTTAGAATACCTTCTATAACATCATATTGTAAACCATGTTTTAGCAAAAATTATGTCAATCCTAAAACCATGGTCTTAACAATCTCTCCCTTTGGCAATTTTTGGTTAAAACACATTTAGCACAAAAATCCAGGAGAGAAGAATAAAACCACAAACAAAATGCAAAAATAATATATCAGTTACAATAGCTACATAATCAGACAGGTACAATACTCCCTCAATCACAAATAATAAGTTCTCCCCCTCAAGGAAAAACCCACATCAGAAGAGAGATCCAAAGTATTCTCAACACACACTAGACAGGATGTTGGAATATCTGTTAAGACATCCTCATCCTGCACAACTGACTACATCAGTAGCAGCAGCAGAAGCACACACCAAGGCATCATCATGAAACATCATGTTCCCCCTAAATAGTTGTATCCATAAAGCAACAATTACTCTCTCAAAAGCAATAGCACACAGTCTTATCACAATGTTAATGATATAACATCAGGACACACACAACAAACATAAGACACTTTACTCCCTCTTTTTAGCCAAAATCTTGACAAAAGGAAATAGAGTAAATGTAAACATACAATGGAAACATATAATACTTTAGAACATATTGCACACGGGCAGTACCAAAAAAAAGGGAAGCAAAAATAAAATCACAAGTGGAAAAAAACAATTAATAAACACCAGGTGGAAGCACACATAGCATTGGAACCTAAGGTTCCTAAAAAATGTAGACACTAAATTCACCCATAAGCTTTTCAAACTGATTTTCATCCAAAGCTTTGGTGAAAATACCATCCAATTGTTTTTCAGTGGCTATATGCTCCAAAGTAACCATTTTATCTTCAACAAGATCTCTGATAAAATGATGACGAATGTCAATGTGCTTAGTCTTGTTATATTGAATAAGATTTTTTAAAATATTGGTAGCACTAAGATTGGCATAGTATAATATCATGACATCTTGATTGACATTATATTTCTTCAATATTTGTTTCATCTACATCAGTTGTGAGCAACTACTCTCAGCTGTAATATACTCATCTTCAGTTGTAGACAAAAAAACACAGTTTTGTTTCTTAATAAACCAGGAAATCAGGTTACTTCCTAAAAATAAACAACCACCTGAAGTACTTTTTCTGTCATCAGCATTCCTTGCTCAATCTGCATCACAGTACCGTACCAGCATGGAATCTGATCCATGAGAGTATAACATGCCATAGTCATTAATATCATTGATGTACTTTGTTCTTGGGTAAAAACATTAAACGAGTGACTTCCTTGTAGGAACAAGGAGAGTCGTAATAAGGTAAATTTTTGTATGATTTTGGGGGATTTGGGTGCTACAATGATACGTATTGTCTCAAGAGAAGTGTCCTGCTTATCCATCTGGCGAGAGCCCCTTCTTATATGTTTTATGTGTTGTCTATTGTGTCTCCTCCCCCCTTTTTCCATTCTCCAAAGGTCCTTTATATAGGATAGTCCTTGGTCTAATGGCCATTAAGCCATTTCATAACATTTGTAACCATCTCTCTTAAATGACTTGGAACGTTCGTAACCGTCCATTAATGACTTGTAACGTTTATCTTATTATTAGGCCATAAGTACACCGTTTACTCTACTCGGATCCGGTTTCCTACAAATTGGTATTAGTGCGTCACGCTCATACTCGACAACTTATTCAATGTCGGTTCTAGGTCACACCTCGATAAGACCTGACTGAGTAGTCAAATCTGGTCTGTAGGTTATGGCTCGTATTTCATTCTTTATCTGAGTTTGTTCCTCAGCCTTAATAAAAATATATGGGATGTACATAAGCCCCCCGGGCACGAAGTCCCAAAAAGGAATGAAGTGTTTTGACAAAAGAAGCCTGATGTTTTTTATCCTGAGTCCAGGGGTGAACTCGGATCATTCAACACATATCATAGCCATCTCGTTCCACTTCCATGCCATTAGTCAACTAGATTCTCAACCTTAGGTATCTTAATATTGGATCTGTTATAAGGGAATTTCATGTTGATTTGTTTTTGTGAAGATTTACGATATTAGTGAAGTCATAAAAAAATTATGATTTTGATGGAGAAATTTGAGTCCTGGTGGGATCTCGACCAATTGATAGCAGCTAACTCATAGAGAACTTTGGACATTCCATAAGTTGGAAAACTTATGTATATACCTTGCTTTGTTTTTTCGGAGATCTTGTTGTATTTCTTTCCATTGCATTGTGTTTATGCTCATCTGAGGCCTTTTTATTGCTTTGAATGCTTTTTGTATACTCATAGCTATTCACTTATATCCCCATGTGTATATCTAGCCAAGTTTAGTACCTTGTAAGTATGCATTATGCCAATGTCAGAGATATATCTCACTCGACTTTATGCTTTACTTTACTTACTGAACTATGAATAAGAGTTTTTAAATGAAAATTCTCAGTTTAAGCTTTAGTTTTGTTCAAGACGTACTTGCCTCTTCTGGTTTATAAGCTCATCTTTACTTGTCATTAAATTTATGGCCCAATGTATGTATTGGGATCTATATCATTAAAAATTTGGACTGTGGGATAAAGCCTTTTTTGGCTGATCATTGATTAGTCTATTATCTTAGATAGGTATCCCCGAGTAATTTTATGTTCGTTTATCTGACCTTTATTATGGCTATAGGCTTCTGGATCCCCTTGGGTTTTAATCGAGTTCA